ACTTCCATCGAAGAGAAGCAAATGAAAGGCTTTCATAAAAATTCTCGTAGAATCGAGAATGAAGTTTTCATTCTGTACATGCCAGATCATGAATTAGTAACTGCTTCCAATTTCCAAAAAAAAATCCCAATTGTGTCGAACTTTCCATTTTTGGAATAGTTACGGAATCTCCATGAATAGGATCAAACCTTATTCCATGGTATTTACATGAGGTTCCTCTTTAAGAAAGTCCCCGAGAGGGCTTAGTTGATCCATGATTTATGTTTCATCTTTCCTTTCCTTTTCGTTTGTTTCGAGAAATCTATCGATCAATTCCGATTCTTTCTTTTTCTCTTGATTCTTTTCCGATCGAGATGTATAGATCCTGTTCATGGATTAACGAAAATGTGCAAAAGCTCTATTTGCCTCTGCCATTCTATGAGTCTCTTCCTTTTTGCGTATGGCATCGCCACTCCCTTTGGCAGCATCCACTAATTCGGAACTTAATTTGAAAGCCATATTTCGACCCGGACGTTTTCGGGATGCCGCTAATAACCAACGAATGGCAAGTGCTTTTCCTTGTGTGGATCCTATTTCAATGGGAACTTGATGANTATTTTTGACCGAAAACACGAATCTCTGTAAAGTTTTCACGATCGTCGACTATTATCTAATACCCTACCGGTCCCTAGTTCACATTGTTTACTAGCCTATGCTGATTTCTATCACTCCGAGGGTCTAACTTAGCCTTCTGGTAATTACGTTAGAGTCGCCAACTCATTTTCTCGAAAGAAGGATATGACATTATGGCATATACTCTTTTATAGTCTCAAAGCCTGTCACCTTTTGTCTTTTCCTTCACTTGACCATAGACTTTGTCATCCTACCATACTTTGATTTACCATTATCACCCATTTATCATACCTTACTCATAATGCTTCATTTACTCTCTTCTTATTCTCCTGCTAATACTTCTGTCTATCGCATTATTCTGAAAACTTGAACAAAACATTGTTTCACTTTTAGCTCCCCTAGCTCAATCCACCATTTTAGGTTACTGTAACCCAAGCTGGATCCTCATATTCCATCTTCTCTTAAACTATATATGTTAGCTCCCACGGGGCATAACTGAGATGGGTGTGGCCAAATATACATACCTCTATTTCTGTTGAAGGTAACTTAGAAGCCTTATATTTCTCTGCCTGAATCGAAAATTTGGATAACCTTCATTAATTGGTTACCTCCTACCCTTCTTCACCTTGCTTCTGTTACCTGTTGAAACTTATATTTTTACCTTCTGATACACCCTTGGCATGCTATTCGCGGGGTATGTTAGATATTCCCGTTTTAGGGTAAGCAGGAAATTCACACATCTAGTATGCACGATCTAATAAGGTCTCCAACAGGGCCACATCGTCAAGAATTCTCTCCCTAATAATGCCCTTACCTGCTGTTGTATTAGCCCTCTAGCTAACTGTATTTTTTCTAATTGAAAGCATCTCTATATCAGTAACAACATAAGTCTTGGCTTGAACTCTTATGACTCAGCTCTATAGCACGATTTGGATTGGAAAGAAGGGTAACGGACTCCTAAATGCCTTGTAGCTTCCTATTTATATAATGTGGTGCACAACACATCTATAAACAAGGATCTACTAGACACGGCTTGTAGACTCCCTAGGATTGAACTGATCTGATACCAAGTTTGTCGTGCCCTAAACCTGACGAGGCGTGGCCAGCACCCGTTGCCATACTCGGCCCGAGCATACCACTATATAACTGTAAATTCTGGAGGTGTAACCCTCAACTTAGGCCGATGAGGCCATATTCTAAATCATATGAAAATATCGTCTCTCTTATCCGAGGGGTAAACATACCCAAAAGCTCAAATATATATATCTGTGGAGGCTGACGAAGCCGGGATGAACATCTACTTATATACAAACTACACAGGACCCGACTACAATCCCCTAGAGATAATTCAATTGTACCATGGTCGGGACAGGGCCTCGAGCTACCCATCAAACCTGTATATATAAAATGGACTCCAAGATCTAGACCAGGTAACTCCGAGGAAGTGGAGCTTACCAACCAAGCTGATGTTGACTCTGTTTACTGGGAAGGTCTATCCAACTATCTATCAGGACCTGCAGGCATGAAATGCAGCATCCCCAACAAAAGGGACGTCAGTATGAAATAATGTACCGAGTATGTAAGGCAACAGAATAATTGAAAGCTGAAACTGAATTGATAATATATCAATTGAAAGTACATGGAAGTCAAATATAATTTGAAGATATGCTTACCCGCTGATACTAACTCAACTCTCTCAATATAGTAAGTAAAATAGTTGTCCGGCCCTATAAGGCTCGATATGTGTAAGTGCTTTGTCATAGTAGGCTCGCTCATAGGCGCTCGGCCATACTAGGCTCTGTATCTCGGCCATTCTGGGCTCGCTCATAGGCGCTCGACCATAGTAAGCTCGGTATATAACTTACCATTTGATCAGAGGTTTCCCAATAGGGGCCTACCCATCAATTATAGCTCGATGGTGATGAAAATATTGTACTACTGTATATATATAGACTCTCTACCCCCTTGGCTGAAAGAAGACAAAACTAAACTGAATATGAAGTCCCGATATACTGTAGCTTATGGGACTAGGATAATATACATAAAGTCAGGAATAAGAACTTCTCTTTATGCCTCATTATCAAACGCATGTAGTTACAGGATCATGCCAAAATGAAGGAAAGGTTTAGCCTTAACATACATTATCACAATCTGTCTAATAACCACGTTAAAAGCGTCTCGTTGCACCTTAATCTACAATAACGATAACAATACTATCATCAAGTTAGGAAGGTACAACTATCGCACAACGAACGACAAGCTTATTTTATAATAAAACGGGCAGCATCTCCCCTATAATCTTTACTTCCTCCCAATTCGACATAACACCAACAGCAACAAGAAAATAACAATAACAACATAAATACATCATTTCCAACCTTATATCCACCACAAAATACCACATAACAACCCAACATACCCCGATCGCTTCAAACACAAAACGACAACCATAATAGTGTCAAACAATCCGAAAATGTTACAACGAACGACCAGCCAACCACCCTGACATTATGTGGTGTTTCTCCACACCCTTTATCCTCCTAAACTCCATAAAAACAGTATCAAAAGAGACAACCCAACAGCAACACGAAACAGCCCACAAAATAGTCCCACAAGTTCAACAACTCAAAATTGATTTTTCCGTTTACTAAAACACGCTTCACATGTCCTTTTTTTCAAATTGAGCAACACAACCAAAAGTACATAATTAAGCCTCTTATCCAAAACCATCCATGAATTTAACTTAAAAATAAGTTTACAACCAGACAACAGTGACTCAACAACAAACAACATACCACTCTTTCGAAACTCGCTGGTCTAGTCTTTACGATCGAGTTACAACTCGTACAAGCATAGATAATGGAAGGAGGAGCATAAATTTACCTTGGACTGAGTAGAACCCATGAAACCTAGCCCTTCTTCATCCAAAATCAGTCCCCCAACGCAGCTACAAGAAGGAGAAAGGGAAACTAGCAAGTTGTCCGGGCTTTTCGGCACTAGAATCACATCGTAACACCCGAAATAACCTAGGGTTGTGTGGGATTTTTGGAGAGGAGGTGCAGGGTTCAATATGATTTTTTGGTCTGAGAAATAAGTGAATGAAATGAGTTAATAAGTCCTTAAAACTCCCTCTTGGCCGACTTTAGGGGCTTTTAATTGAGGCCTCTCCTTTTAGGAAGTAGGTGATGCACCTATTTGTCACCTACCATTCTGCGCAGTCTTGCGAAAATGCAAATATGTCTCTACTCCAATGTTTTATTAATGAACGGTTTAATCCGTTGGAAACTAGACTCGTAGATCTTCAATTTGGTAGGTAAATCATCCCGTAATCCCAAGTACATTCGGAGAAATGCTCAGCTACATTTAACCTAAATTTCAGCATATTTATGATTGTAACTTGTGATGACCTTTTCCCACTTTTGTTCCACAAGTCACTTGATTTCAAAACATGACACACGACTATCATACGACTAAAATAACTCATAAATCTCCTTATAATGTTAAGTACTCTAGTCTCACCCCAAAAGTACATGTTATAACATTCACAACTTGTCGACTTTTGACGAAACTTATTTTCTTCAAGTCGTTTAGCTTCTAAGCCTTCAAACCCTCTTGGTGCGTGGTATTCGTAATCTTAAATATTGTAACCTCCAAGTTAACATGATTAACTTACTTGTTGTACTTTCACAGATGATCTCATTTCATAGCTTACATTAGTTGACTTGCGACGTACTTTTATATACGAAAACATGGGGTGTAACAGCCTTCGCCGGCGAAGCAGGTCCAGGGTTTCAGGAGAGAGGAGAGAGAAAGAGAGCCATGATTCCGGCATCTCCATTAGATCCAAATCTGGTGACGCCTCTGATCTTCCTCCATTGTTTTCGTTACCGGTAATGGACCCATCGCGGGTAGAGCTAGACAGTGGCAAAAAAGATATAGGAAAGAGAGAGAGGGGGTTGAGACAAAAGGAGAGAGAGTTGAGGGAGAATGGAGAGAGGGTTGAGAGAAAAGTTGAGGGATCAGTTGTATACATTTGAACTTTGCTATAAAATATAAAAAGTGGTTATAAATAATAATATTTTAAATTATTTTAGTTTATAATAAATAAGGTGCATTATTTAGCTATAGCATATAAAATTTCCTATAACTTAACACATTTAAGAGCCCGTTTGGATTAGTTTTAAAAAGTGACTTTTTAGAAGAAATAGTTTTTAAGCTTTTTAGCAATAATTTTGTGAGGTTACCCAATTTATTGCTTTTGGCTTGTTTTAGATTGTTTTTAATTTATTTTAAGCACTTTATAACTTTATCAAAGACCGGAAATTTTTTAAAAAAAACTTAAATATTGATTTGACCAGCTCTATCCAAGTTACTCCTGCTTTTGGGTTCAGGCGACCTAACTCGGCCCAAAGTTAAAAGAGGAGTCCAGGGAAAGGGCTTAAGCAGGGTTTTGTTTCCTTGAAGCTAGGGGATAGGAGCAAGGAAGAGGGAGAGGCAGGATTCTCTAGGTAAATACGGCGGGGAATAGCAACAGGAAGTAGCAGAGAGAGGTGAGAGTTGAGGAGATATGTGGCGCAGGGGTCTGAATGCTGGAAATGGCGTAGCAACTGTATTTCTCAGGCATTTCTCGCGGAAAAGGGCACCAAATCTTAGGAAGATCAACCCCAAGGTACCACCCCAAGAAGCTGCTGAAATTGCAGAATCTCTTTACCATGTTATCAAGCAGCACGGTCCCCTCACCCTCCCCAATACTTGGAACCTCGCCAAGGTGACACTTTCTGACCCTGCTCTAATCCTTCCTGCTTACATCATTTGGGTAAATATTATATATATTCCGTGAATGTTTTTCCCCAATACAACAAGGTCCATACCCTCCGAAAATGCACGAAGAAGATACTTGCTCAAGAATAATACAATATTGATTTCTGCCCTTTGCTCTTGTGCCGATCCCTATTTGAGATCTTAAAAGTTTTGCACTTAGTGTCTGATAATTGAGGACCTGTTCAGAGAATGAAATGAGGATAGACAATTAGCATATGACAAATGATGCAACAAATTTAAGACATACACTTGGTGTTAGAGGCGAAAAGCAAGCAACCATGTCTAACCTAACACAATAGTTTCCTATTTGAGTTTATTTCTTAAAAAAATTCATGACTACATTGTCTAGCAGTCATACCTATGAAACCTTTGTTATTGTAATGAATTTACAACAAGATAGTCCTCGGTTCCTTTATGTTTCAGATCACTCTTTTGATGCAGTAAAATTTCTTTTCTGTAACATTTCTTTTTCAAAGGTCTCTTATTGGTCGCTCTTTCCTTAAGGTTGTATTTGTGTATCAGATTAGACATATGCATGAATCTTTACATTGATTTAGTATGAGTAATGGCATCTATGGAGTATATTAAGTATTTACCTTATCGGAAAAGTTACCCATATAAATATATGTAGAAGTGGTGAAAAGCTAAAACCACATCCATAGATTTGCAACTTCTGCATTTCTCTACGAACCATATTCTATGCCACTCAGAGGTGGGCCTGTGTTGGGTGCAGAGGGGTCACTGGCACCCGTTAACGTCAGAAAAACTCTCTCTCTATGTATGTGTGTATATACCTTGAAAAATGTCTACATATTTTTCTGGGACCCCTAAACACAGGCTCTCTAAGAGGCACTCGTCGAAGCCACTGTTGTGTCCACGCCACCTTTAAATCTTGGGTTCCCGTCTGACATGCACAAGTGATGTGTTTTTTGACAATGCACAAGTGATATGTTTTTTGACAATGGAAGTTCATTCTATTAAAACAAATTTTACAGCCTTTTTCTTTAAACTGATTCTAGCAAATGGATGAAGGCACTTAGGATTAAAAAAAATATGACTAAACCTAAATCATAAGAAATTAAAAATTTAGGATTAAACTTCTTAAATAGCCCCACTAGTGGAATTATACTGGGTTGTTGTTGTTGTAAACTTCTTAAATATCAGGGCATTTGATGCACAAAGAGCTCCAAAACATGATCAGGAAAGGGTGACTTGTTCAGTGAACTAATGTAGAAGCGTTGTCCACCAAGTAGTATTGATACAATAACCTATTCATGTAAGGGTAATTTTCATTTTTCACCACCATGGATGTAGGAGTGGTTCCGTACTTCTTATTCGGATTTTTTTATTACGGTTTGCATTTCAGATCTTATTTTTGAAATATTCGAAATTCGGATTTAGGACTTGGGATTTTTAGCTAGCGTTTGGCCATATCCCAAATTTATTTTGAAAAATCTGATTTGGGTGAAGTTTGGTTTGAAGATGAAAATGTGTTTGGACATAGGTTTTCAAAACATATTTTCCAACTTTATTTTGAAAAAACATGTATATAATTCCCAAGTTTTGGGATTTAGGCCCAAAATCAGCTCAATAGCTGATTTTGGGATTTGAGATTTGGTATTTGGCCAAAATATGGGCAAAATTTATGGCCAAAAATGAGTTTTGAAAATAAATCCCAAATTTATTTTGACAAAACTCATGGCCAAACGGGGCCTTAGATATCCGTATCGAAAATCTGTTTTTTTTATACCATACATTTAGCCCTACCCATTAGACATTAGCCCGGTACCAAATTCAATACCCTTATAAATCAGTCAAAATAGCCTATTAGTGCATTTGAACCTGAACTCTTAGTTGTATGATCTATTTGGACATGGTTTTACTATTTTTAGACTTGTTAATTTTCAAGGTGACTGTCTTTTAGATGATTTTGCCCGTCAAGAGTACTTTCTTGAACTGCTGAAAGTGATATTCCATCGAGTTGTCTGATTGTCACATGTTTGTAAGCAGCTGGAATTTGGTTGGTCTTTGTTTTGTTGATTCTCGGAGCCTTAATGCTTCTGTTGATAGGAATTTCCCGGATAATGGTTGTATTGCTTGCATGAGGCACTAATAAGCCACGTGTTTATAAGCAAACTTTTCTTTGGATGATTTTGATACGAATACTTTGTTTAAAGGGTTGTGGTGGAAATGAGGAATTATAGTTGCAATTTAACAATGAACACTTTATTCAGATGTTCATTTTTGTACGAAGAAGAAGCCCATCTTATAGGCTCAAAACAAAAAAAAATCAGAATAACCAAACCAATTAATCCGAAGTCGAACTTATAGCAACCGAACTAATACTTTGCAGAATTGCTAGAAGCGAGTGCTTCGTCTCTTAAAGCTCTGAAGCGAAGCGAGGGTATGATGCTTTTTGGGTGTGAGGTGAAGCAAGTTGAAAGAAGCGGCCACTTCTGTCGAAGAAGCGTGAAGCAACGAAGCACTGAAAGGCACTTTTTTTTTTTTTTTTAATTTTAAAAAAGTGACCTTTTTAGAAAAGAAAAAAAAAGAAAGGGAGGGGACCTTTTTAGACAAAAAGTAAGGGGTAGCTTATTCGCTGCTGGCTGCTGCTTTGTTCTCGCTGCTGCTGCTAGGGTTCTTAGCTACTGGCTGCTTTTCTTCACTGCTCCGCTGTTTCTGAAAGGGAGTTGTTGCGGCTGCCTTTGTTCCTGCTTCTGTTTTGCTAGTTCTTTAGGTTTTATTTTCCCTGTTTGGGTTTTTTTTTTTTTTTTTGGAGTTTGTATAAGCAAATAAAACTTTTAGTAGCAAATTGGTATTTAGTGCTTTCTCTATTTCTGCCACTCTCCTGGTTAATAGTAAAAAACAACTTATAATTGCAATTATAGATGGATTAATGATCTCTTCTTCTTTCTCTTTTTTTTTTTTTTTTATTTTGTTGTCGGAGGATTGTTAGTTCTTTACTTTTTCAATTGGAAGATTTGCATTGTGGATGTTATTTTTGTTGAGTTCTTGTTTAGTTAGTTATTTTATTTATTTTGTCTGGTGTTCATTTTGATATTCTTTTAAAGTTGCACTTCACTTCAATGGAGCATGCGTTTCGCCTCACGCTTAAAGCCCTAGGGCGCTTGTCGCTTTTTTGCGCTTCTCGCTTTAAAAATACAGGGGCTTCGATAGTTTGGCCAATGTCGAGATTTTTTTTAATAAGTCAGCCTTAAGATTCTTAACATTGTCAATATGATTAATTGACTAGATAAGTTACAATTTTGACTTGTTTTTCCTTTCAGGAAGCTAATGTTAGTGGATTAAACAGCAAAACACACATGAAGCTAATGCTCAAATGGATGAGGGGTCGAAATATGCTCAAGCAGTTCTGCCACCATGTTGGTTCTAGCAAGAAATTCCTTCTTTCTGCCCTACCTGACGAAACGCAGATCAACCAGGCAAACAACTCACTGGAAGTGAAGATTAAGATTGAAAAGCCTCAAGTCAAAGGTAAAAGCTTCCCATAATTATGTTTTCCCTGCAAATATTGGGAGAAAGTCGAGGGGATATGATGCTGGATAAGCTTTTACAGTGAAGAAATTTCAAGCTTGTGATCTCCTTCGAATCAGGCTTGATGACACTCTTTGTACTCTCTTGTATCTTCTGGTCTTTTGTAATGGGACCTTATGCTACAGGATTATCTCCCATGGGTTTGATTAATCCCCCTTAGTTGTGGGGACATGTGATTAAAATTTTCCAACTGGATTTTATGCGTTCGACATGGTAAACATCCTCATTGATAAGCCCTTGTCATTTTCAGTAAGGCTACCGTTTGTGGGTGACAAACATGTCTGCAAGTCATGGCTAGACCTGTTCTAGATTTTTCTGAATTCTTAGGTGCATTGCTCTAAGATATACTATGAATAAAATAGGCATTTTGGGGAGTAGAAGTTGAATTTGGGCTAATGCAACTTGATCCGCTATGGAATTTGATGTATTGTTATTTAATCAAATCCATGTAGCAGGTAAGATCATTACTTTTTGGGTCCGCATCATGGAACGTTCTTGGTTCTTTTTCTTCTTTTTGTGTTTTTGGGTGTTGCTTTTGGTAGGGGCTTTTTTCTTTTTTTCTTTTTTTCTTTTTTTCTTTTTTCTTTTTGGGGGGGGGGGGGGGGGGGTTGGTTGGTGCGCTTGGGGATGGTTATTCCTACTTTGAAAGATATTATGCTCCATAGCCTTATTGCCTATATGCTGATTTCTCGTCATATCTCTTACATGAAAGTAACAACAAAAACAGGAAGTAAAATTATACATGAAATCGATTATGACGGTATAATGTCAACCTTATGACTGACCCTGGCAATCTGTTAAGAATGACAATGGAGTGAGGTGGATTTTATGTTTGCTGGAGAACGCTGTTTATTTTGGTGCGAAATATGGCGATTAGTAAATTGTGTGTAGGTATACTTATTGTTTATGATAGAGACATTTCAAATTGAGTGGAAGGTGGACCGAGAATGCTCCTATTTTGCATACTTTGATGACCCTGTGTTCAGTAGCAGATTTAATGAGAAAAAGTGGCTAGCCTACTTCTCTGACATTTGACTCTGGTTAATCATGCTATGGGAGGGCAATTTTCGTACTATGACCAATATAACTTGTTTCATGTTACTGGTGGGACAAGTAAAAGCGAACGGAGGAAATATTCACTAAAGAAAGATAAAACCTAGCTTAGGGATTGTTCCGTGTTTGGCTGGAGAATAAAGTTAGGGGTCGTTTGATAGGGTGTATAAGAATAATGTTGAATAGGGTGTATTAGTAATGCAGAAATTATTTTTTATACACTGTTTGGTGTGGTGTATTAAAAACTAAAACGCATTGCATGATTTTTTAAAAAAAATTAGTTGTTTACAAAAATTTCCTCTATATTCTTTAGCTTTAAGAGACTTTAAGGACAATTGTCTTTAATCATGCTATTGCATGCATTAATAGCCTTGGTATTACTAATACCATGGTTTGCTATGCATTAGCTATACATAGGATAATACCAAATAGGATGTATAACTAATGCTTGTATTAGTTATACCTAGATTGAAAAGTGTACCAAACAAGGTATTACTAATACACAAAGCTAATGCATACATTATTTTCTCTAATGCACTCTACCAAACGACCTCTTAGTGCTCTAAGACAAAATTGATCGCTTGGATAATCAATCTAATTCTTTATTTTAACCGGTTACAATGGCCAAAAGCAAATCGGTTATTTATTGGTTAGAGCAAGCGTTTGAACCTTAATGTGCACCTTGAAACCTCGACGTAAATTCCGAGCTCTCACCGGCTTAGTTCCGGTAAGTGCTTTATTTCATGAATACATAATCACAAAACTGGAAGTTGTGCAATTAAGCATTATAAAAATGAGCATCCATCATTCCAAAACTAACGATCTAACAAATAAGGCAAATGCAAAAAACTGCCCTTCGAATAACAACAGGTTGTAGCGCCAGTAAAAAACAGCAGAAGCATACAAATACACAATCCACAACAAAAGGTAAAAAAGGAAAATGCACAACCCATATTCCACAAATTTGCTAGCGGTTCTTTACAAAAACTGCATATACCAGAAAATTGAGCTATCTAACATTCTTCTTGCCACTTGGCACCACAAAATTGTCAAAGCAATATTCTCCACATTCATCTTCATTGTCCTCTTGAAGCCTATATTTGCTGAAATGCTGCACCCTGAACTTCCATTCTCCTTTAACCGGATCATAGGACACAAATTCAGCACCTTGATCTCCTGCCTTCCTCTTAAGCATATCCTTATATTTATCGATTCTAGGACCCTCTGTATATTGTTGTCCAGTCTTCTTATCAAAACATTTTATGTTGAGAAGTGTCACCTCAGCAGGCTTGTTAAGACCTTGTCCAACAGGAGGTTTCTTACTCTCATCCATATAGACTATCACCTCCCGATTGTTAAACTGAATCAAAGACTCCAGATCAAGCCGTCGAACATCTGTTTCCCCGATGAACTTGATGCTTCCATATTCATGTCTACCAACCACAAAATCCTTCACATGGCGACAGAACCCAGGCTCAGCCCTTTCCTTTGCTGCCAATTCCTGAACCCGTGGCTCTGTGTAATAATCAGAATGGCGGAGCTTTGGCATCAGAGCCTCAATGTCAGCCCCATGTTCGTAAACAATTGCTGCTTCACCAGCTCGATGGCCAGTAAGGGTAATGGAAGACCCCCCTCCTTTTTGGAGGTGATTCCCTTCATGGAGACCATTGGGTTTCTGGTTTAGTTTGGCACTATGGAGACCCTCTTTATCAAGGCCATTCTCAACCAAATCTTCTGCAGGAACAGATGAAATGCAGCTAATGAGGCCAAATTACTGTACAGAAATTTAACTTCTGGTGACAACTGAGTAACTAACACTGTAAGACAGATAGAAGTAACATTCACTACTGATAAACTTTGTATTCTAAGCAAAATGTTAACTTCAAGTTCTCAGAACCAAAATTCTCCTGACAAAATAATATTTAACATTTTCGTTTATTGAAAAGTTCAAGCAAGAATCCATATATTTTATAAGCATACATCTGTAATCCATATATTTTACTCCTCTCTCTCTCTCCTCCCTCTACAACGGTCAGCTCCCTTCCCCCACCCAACCCCGTCCCCTGCCCCCCTCCCTCCTCCTCCGGCGACTCCACTACTGCCGGCGACGTCCCCCCACCGGTAAGCTCACCCTCTTCTCTCTCTCCCTTCTCCCCTCTCTCACGTCCCCCACCGGTAAGCCCACCCAGCCCTCTCGCCCCTCCCCCCTAACTCCCCTGTATTTTCCGGCGATAGCGCCGGCGACGTCATACCCCCCCCCCCCCTCTTCCCCATTTTTTGTATAGATTTCTATTCCCCATTCTCCCTTTCACCCTCCACCTTCCTTCCCCACCTCCTCCTCACCTCTTACCCCACCCCCTCCCCTTTCCCGAGTCAGGCAGACCCCCCCCCCCCCGCGTTTTTGTGTGGGGTTGTCGTGTGTGTGTGATTTTCAGGTACTAGTCGCGGCGGACGAGGCGGGCTTGAGGCGTTTGGAAGTGAAGAGCGAAGCAACACCGGCCGGAACGTGCAAGAGTTGGCAGTAGGTGACCTCGGGCGCATCAAAGCTTACTTCCAGGTTTTTTTTCACCGGGAGTTGGTACCTCCTGATCTCTTGTTTACTCTGTACACCTTTTTACGTATTCTAGCTAGCATCCTGTGTGTGGTTTACTCTGTCGCTATCTAGCTAGCACCCTTTTTCGTGTTCTGCTAAACTCCGTGTGTGCATCACTGTTTTCCTTAGTCGGTTGGAGGGATAATGGCCGCGGCGGGGAATGGTGGTGTAAGGTCATGTCCGTCGGGGGGCGGGGGTGGTGGTGGGGGTGAGCAGGGGGGCAGGGAGCGGCTCTGTGGGTGGGGCGGGAGGCAAGGGTTGGAAGGGGATAGCGGGCGCTCAGATTGAGGGTCGGGTCGTGGAACATAGGCACCCTGACGGGTAAGTCCATTGAGTTGGCGAAGATTCTTCAGAAAAGGAGGGTCAGCATAGCTTGTGTGCAGGAGACTAGGTGGAAAGGGTCGAAGGCGAGGAATGTAGACGGGTTTAAGCTGTGGTATTCTGGGGTCGTGAGGGGTAAGAATGGAGTGGGTATCTTGGTGGATAGGGATCTTAGGGAGTCCGTGGTGGAGGTTAGGCGAGTGAACGATAGGTTAATGTCTATTAAGTTGGTTATTGGTGGTTGCGTCCTCAATGTCATCAGCGCTTACGCGCCGCAAGCAGGCCTAGACGAGGAGGTTAAGAGGTGATTTTGGGAGGGCTTGGACGAGTTGGTGAGTAGTATTCCCCAATCTGAGAAGTTAGTTATTGGAGGGGATTTTAATGGTCATATTGGGGCTGATGCTGGTGGTTATGGTGAGGTGCATGGTGGCTTTGGCCTTGGGGTTAGGAACGGAGGAGGCACTTTGCTGCTTGATTTCGCCAGGGCTTTCGAGCTTTTGATTGCGAACTCGTCATTTCAGAAGAGGGAGGAGCATTTGGTTACTTTCGAAAGTTCGGCGGCGAGGACTCAGATTGATTACCTCCTCCTCAGAAGGAGCGATAGAGGGTTGTGCAAGGACTGTAAGGTTATTCCGGGAGAGTCCCTTTCGACTCTTCATAGACTCCTAGTGATGGATGTCGGTCTCTGGGTGAAGAGAGAGAGGAGGGGTGCTCGGGGCAGGCCGCGAATTAGATGGAGAGCTTTGACTAAGGAGAAAGCCCAGGAGTTGGAGAGGAGGTTAGCTGATGGTGGAGCTTGGAGAAGTTATGGGGAAGCGGACGCAATGTGGTCAGAGACGGCGAACTTGGTTAGGGAGGCAGCGCGGGATGTGCTCGGGGTAGCCAAGGGCTATTCAGGCAGACATCAAGGTGACTGGTGGTGGAACGATGTAGTCCAAGGAAAAGTGGACGCGAAGAAGGCGGCGTTTGCTAAGTTGGCAGGGAGCGCAAGCGAGGAAGAAAGGAGAGTCAACAGGGAGAGCTACAAGGTGGTGAGCAAGGAAGCGAAGCTGGCGGTCACGGAAGCAAAAAATGCGGCGTTTAGTCGCATGTACGAGGAATTGGGGGAGAAAGGCGGGGACAGGAAGTTATTCAGGTTGGCTAAAGTGAGGGAGAGGAAGGCGCGGATCTAGACCAAGTTAGGTGCATCAAGGACGAGGATGGGGGAGTCTCAAGTCAAGCAGAGGTGGCAGGCGTACTTTCGAGACCTGCTTAACGAGGAGGGGGATCGAGACATCGAGCTAGGGGAGTTGGGGAATTCAGAGTGTCATAGAGACCTTGGGTACTGCAGGCGCATTAGGGTGGAGGAGGTCGTGGGGGCTTTGCGTAGGATGAGTAGGGGTCGAGCGACCGGACAAGACGAAATCCCGGTGGAGTTCTGGAAATGCATAGGTAGGTCAGGAGTACAGTGGCTGTCCAGGTTGTTCAATGTGATCTTCAGGACTAAGAGGATGCCGGAGGAGTGGAGGTGGAGTACAGTGGTGCCCGTGTATAAGAACAAAGGGGATATCCAGTGTTGTAACAACTATAGGGGTATCAAATTACTAAGCGCCGCTCCACTACAGAAGCTATCCACACAGGAGATTGGTGGAACACTTCAGGGATAAGAAGAAGGACCTGCACATGGTGTTTTATCGACTTGGAGAAGGCGTACGACAAGGTCCCAAGGGAGGTGCTATGGAGGTGTCTGGAGGCGAAGAGCGTGCCGGAAGCCTACATCAGAGTGATCAAGGACATGTACGATGGAGCTAAGACTAGGGTTAGGACGGTGGGTGGCGACACAGACCATTTCCCGGTGGTAATGGGGCTTCATCAAGGATCTGCACTTAGCCCTCTCTTATTTGCTTTGGTGATGGATGCTATAACACGCCATATTCAAGGGGATGTGCCATGGTGTATGCTATTTGCTGATGACATAGTCCTGATAGACGAGACGAGGGTCAATGTTAACGAGAGGTTGGAGGTTTGGAGACAGACTCTCAGAGTACCTGGAGTGCAAGTTTAGCGCCGAGCCGAGCGAAGTAGGCAGGGACGTCAAGCTTGGATCTCAGGTCATCGCCAAGAGGGACAGTTTCAGATATCTTGGGTCGGTGATTCAGGGGGACGGAGAGATCGACGGGGATGTCACTCACCGTATAGGGGCGGGGTGGTCGAAATGGAGGCTTGCATCAGGAGTCTTGTGTGAGAAGAAAGTGCCACAGAAACTCAAGGGGGAGTTTTATAGAGCTGTGGTTAGACCTGCCATGTTGTGTGGGGCTGAGTGCTGGCCGGTGAAGAACTCCCATGTCCAGAGAATGAAGGTTGCGGAGATGAGGATGCTCAGGTGGATGTGCGGGCTCACCAGGTTAGATAAGATTAGGTATGAAGTTATTCGGGAGAAGGTGGGGGTGGCCCCAGTAGATGAGAAGATGCGGGAAGCGAGGCTCAGGTGGTTCGGGCATGTGCGGAGGAGAAGCTCCGATGCCCCGGTGAGGAGTTGTGAGCGGCTGGCGGTGGTTGGCGCGAGTCGAGGCAAAGGGAGGCCCAAGAGGTATTGGGGAGAGGTGATTAGGCAGGACATGGCTAGAATGCGGATTTCCGAGGACATGGCCCTTGATAGGAAAGTCTGGAGGTCTAGTATCAGGGTTGTAGGATAGGGGCTTCTAGAATTTTTCGTACTTCTGTCCCGGGGCTGGGGGTTGGTAGGGCTCTCCATAGATGATCTGTGTATTGTATTGTGCCCCCTTATGGTAGTTACTGGTCGATATATTTGCATGCCATTTTATTTATGGTTTATGTTTAGATAATTATTTATGTGATTTCTGCTGGAGTTACTAATGCTCTTTTGTTTTTTGTTTTTGTTTTTCTTTTCCTTTTCCTGAGCCGAGGGTCGATTGGAAACAGCCTCTTTGCCCTTTCGGGTAGGGGTAAGGCCTGTGTACGTATTACCCTCCCCATACCCCACCTTGTGGGATTATACTGGGTAGTTGTTGTTGTTGTTGAAAAGTTCAAGCAAGTTATGAAAAAAAAAAAAATAACCCATTGCATAATTCCAAAAATTACTTACTGTTTTTATCGTTTGCACTGGTCTCGGTAACTGGAGCAGAAACAACTTCAGGAATTTTACCTGAATATGAAGTGCGTTCTTCAGCAAAATAAGACCACTATACAACAACATAGTTCTGAAGCAAGACTCGATATAGTAAAGACAAACTACAAAGAGAAAGATGAGCACAAGCAAAGAAAGGATGTGCATTCTACATTTGTGGAATAGGAACCAACTTGTAGCCTGAAGACGTGGATATGAAGATATTCAACTATATACCTGTTATGATAGGCCGGGTTCAGACATTTAAAGATTTGCCACAGCATTGCTATTTGTACGGCAAGATCAACCAATAAACTACGCCTCATCACCATTTGTTAACGTCAGCGGTATGAATCCTCTATATATGCCCCCTCTATTCGGGTTCATTTCTTTCAAAACACTCAATAATTTATCTTTTAAAACAAATTCAAAGCTCCAGATTATTCAAATCTCATGCTTATTCCTAAACCAACATGAAAATATCCAACCAAACTGAACTAACATGATCCCAGGCAAACATGAGACCAAATGCAAGTATGACAAGTAACAAAAATGAGTAAGCCTTACCCCAACTTATTGTTATTTGTAAGGCTCCTTTTCTTCCATGTTTTATTTTCTTACTCAAAAGCCTTTGAGATAACTTGCTTCCTTGTGATTTTAGATTTACCTAGTCTCTTAAGCATTTCCATCATAGTATAAAACCTAGACATCGATGCACTTGGATGTCTATTTACCGAGTCTCTTATTATCTTTCTGGCATCTTTTGTTGTTACAGGCCTTTTCTTTTGTTTCCTTTTTTTTCTTTTGTTTCCTTTACTCATATTATTGTCTTTTCTTTTGAGCCGAGAGTCTCCCGGAAACAGCCTCTCTACCCTTTCGGGGTAGGGTTAAGGTCAGCGTACACTCTACTCTCCCCAGACCCCACTAGTGGGATTTTACTGGGTATGTTGTTGTTGTTGTTGTTGTTAGCGTTCTAGAAGTTTTTGGGTGCTTTGTTATATTTTTTAGTTAATTTGTGCGTGCAGGTCTGAGATGTATGTGATTGCTTACTATAGTTTAGTTGTTACAGTGCTGCGTGTTTAGGAATTTCTTGATTCTGCTAGCTATGGGGTTATGTTATAGATTATGTGGCCTAAAGTTTTCTCCTTTTCAGCTTTTTCCTAGGGAATAATGAATTGAAAGTTGAGGTGATTAGGAGACACTTCTGCCAAGAAAAGGTGTCAAAATGATCACTGCAAAGTTAAAGTGTCTAACTGACAAATTGTGCAAAGTTTAAGGTGTACTAAGTATTTAGCCAAAATAAAATGATCAAATGACCAAATTTTGCACTTCAGAACTTATGGAAGTGCCTTAAATTATTAGTGAGAATCAATACCATTAGAAAGATATGGCCTAGAAACTATATTCACAAAAGAGGAGCTGCCATCCAAGATCCCAATTACAAGCTCTTTCATTCAGAACTGTTAATTTCAACCGGCAAGATGCAAAAGTCACTAGGAGTTGCTATCAGTTCAAACTTCAAATGCAACATGCAATTTAACCAAGTGCAGAAAATCAAAATTTAGCAATAGATAAATAAAGCACAATGTTTCTCACATGTTGGATGAGTCAAAATCACAACGAAAGACAACATTGAGACCTTACCCTATGTCCATTGTATATTGGAGTGTAATTTGGGTTTGAGCATGGTATCATGTTGGATGAGTCAAAATCAAAATGAACAGAAACATTAAGACCCTACCACATGTCTACTTTCTATTGGGGTGTAACTTGGATTTGAGGCGTGATATCTTTCCACAAGCTCAAACTATCTTTCTTGCTACATATACTAGCACTCCTGAAGTCCTGATAGAAAGAAGATGCCTAATTAAGAATGTCAGGACTGGTCGAAACTCCCCCAATGATAGTTAAAATCAACACAAATGGCAGCCACAAGCATAACCTTAAATCTATAGCTATTGCATATTAGGGATATGATACAAGATGAGGTTGGTAACCGCCCTAAAATTTTGCAGAAACTGGGTAATTGCTTTATCATTAAGGAAGAATTTTCTCCTTGCCGAGAGCATTGGTGTTGGCTTTGGAACTACATATAAGTAAAACAAAATCTATAACCTACCATTCTCATGCACTGGGGACGTGTGCTTTGATGGGGATACTTTCTCCAAACCACCTCTAGAAGGCCACTGGTCCAATGGACGAATTACTAAAGCTCTTGGATTCTCTCTAGGAACAAACAACGCATCTGCCTTAGGCGTGCTTGGCGTCTCCTCATCGTCACTAAAGAACGGCACCTACAAAGAAACACAAGTCAACCAAAGCCAGTCAATTTGTTGCACTTAGAAATAGATTCCGAGATTCATTTAGGACTAACTAGAGGTTCAACACAAATAAAACGTCATTTTGACCTTAGCACCCTCAGTTTTAGGGTGATATTTCCTTGCCGGCAACCTAACCCGTCTTTGAGAAAGGTGTCGAGAAGTCAGTAATGATGATATCCTGACAGGAACAGGTTTGTCAACCACCTGTTAAACAATAAAGTGAAAACATGTAAGAGCACCAAATTGTGGATCTGCTTTCGTTTATACTAATATAATAATTAAAAAAAATAAGTGGAGTAAAAGTAAAAAAGGCATAACCCCATCCGTAAACCAAAATAAGAAAGCATAGAGAAAACCACATAGGAAGAAAAGATCCCCCCCCCCCAAACCCCACCCCCCAAAGTAAAGAAGACAGGTCATGCATACTTACCGGTAAACTAGAAATCCCATACTGTATAGAAGAAGAAGTGCCAGTACGAGCAATTGACATCTGAGGCATCGCCGGTAAAGTTCCAAATGGATTAGTAACAACCGCTGGTTGTGCTACAACTGAGCTTTGGTTAGCTGACCTGTAGCACCAGGTGTTCATCAGTTTCATACAAAAAGTCATGAAAAGAAGAGAAGCACATGCGCAGACAAATCGAAATAAAACGGATCAAGATTAGAACAAGAATTGAATATGTCCTCTGAAAGTACTCATGAAGGTCTACTGTTCACAAATCCACAGCTCATGTGTACGCCTTTATCCTTGATAACATAAACTCTTATCGATGTCATATTTCTATGATACCACAGATTTACTATGGTGGTATAGAACTCACTGTTTGGAAGGCTATAGAATGAACACAAACGATCTCGGAAGGAAAGACACCTGAAGAAACAATCCACCCTTTGGTCCTTTTTCTTCATTCCTTTTTTAGGAGTGGGGATCAATTGAAAGAAAATTGACAAATTTTAAAGGATTTCCGACATAATTCCTGAATTGGAGGCAAGTATGATAACTACAAGCTAAATGGAAGTAAGGCTACAGAGAGACTGATAGAGGGGCTGTTAGTGACATCAAGACTATATTCACAAGTCAGACCAAATCCAAATGACAACTTCCTATAATGTTGCGCATATGCATGCACTTACAGGACAAAAGAAATGTAAGGATCATTTAAAGAGCTGTTACATACGGTTGACTGAAAAGGCTGGGTGTGCCACCAAAACCACTTGCACCACCTGTACAGTAGAACAAAAGACATAGATTTAGTAGTCGCATCACCAATCTCACCAACTATAAGAGGAACTATCACATTTTAATTACCTCCTTGTGTCTGACCATAGTTACTGAACCCAAAAGCAGGAGTACTCTGAGAAGGCTGAGTGAGTTGAAAAGGAGTTGAAAGAGAGGGCTTCAAATCCAAAGAAAGGGGCAAATTAGGTATCACTGGATAGTAAAAATATTTTTAAAAAGGCAGAATAGCCTAATAGACGCTCGTACTTGTATCGTTTTGACATCCCGGTCCTCATATTTACGGATTTTTATCCAGAAACCTCTACTTGTTCAAGACAAATTTTCTAAACCCCTCTGAAAATAGACCGAGCTTATGTGGCGTTGACATAGCTGAGCTGGACAAATCATGTGTCACACACGCGTGTAAAGAGAATGATACTAGTGATATTGATTAAAACGGATTAAAATCATAAAAAAGTAAAATTCATAAGTTAATTGAATCCCCCCCCCCCCCCAAAAAAAAAAATCTTCTTCTCTTCCTCAGTTTCTCGCACCTTTCTTCTCGGCCACAATCCCTCTTTTCCCCTCCACACCACTGTAAACAATGGATGAGCCTTCAAAATCATAAGATCAGGCAGAAACATCCTATTTTTCTCTGTTTTTTAATAAGAGAATCTTTTACATTTCTTGCTTCTTTTTTTTGTTTAATCAAAACCCAATTGATTTCTCAAATGAACTTCTAAAAAGTACCTTTTTTTGCTGTTAACTCAAAACCAATTAATCAATTCTTTACTAGAAAAAATGGCGGAGGCAACAAAATTTCAATTAATCAGCTCTTCAGGTAATTTCGAGGTAGTAGGTTCCGTTTGGGTTTTTTTTTAAGGAAATGAGGAAAAGATGGGTATTTAATGGTGGTTTTTAGAGGAAGGTGGTGACTTCCGGTTGTTTGTTACAGTGAAGAAATTTTGTGGCGGTTGAATTTCTCTTTTTTCTTTTTTGTGTGGTTACCAGTAATTGTAGAGTAGTGGTGAGAAGTCAATGTGGGAGGATGGTCTTACGTATGAAAACAGGTTCAGCCGGGTGAGATTTTTGAAGGACGATCTGGTGGTTAGGGAATGGTTCACGGTGGTCAGATAAAGAAAGAAGTTGTAATGGTGGCTATGAGGTAGTTCTTATTGAGGCATTTGGGATGTTTCTTCAAACTTTTTAAAAATACTTTCTGAGAAAATAAATGATGACGTCGAATAATCGACAAAGTGTAAAATGACGAAAATATTAGGTTTGGGTGGTCAGTCATATTGTTCAATCGTTTATTTTCCTATGTGGCACTAGTAATGGCGTGGAATCCTACGTGTAGGAGACGGTATTACACGCACCCTCAGCCTCTCGTCATAAGTGATTATTATACAGGGTTTGAATGAGTGTAAGCGTTCACTTGGCAAAATCGTAAGTACGGGGACCGGGATGACAACCTAGAAGGCTAGAACAAGTAGAGATGCCTTTTAGGCTATTCTGCCTTTATTAAAACAACAATATGTATCTTGGGAGAATCTAATATACTTTTACTGCAAGTAATAAAACAAAAATTAATCAAAAAGATACATCAAGCAAGTCAACCGCAAGAGAAAAATATCAACAACCCAAATGATAAAGCATTGAATATAATTTCATACAAGTTTAAGTGATTTGCTTGCTCAAAACATAACCCTACATATATCACCAACAGTCAACTAACAAGAGAACGTGATTGCAACAGTTTAATAGTTTCCAGGCATTGATCACACTTGCAACCATATCAATAATGGTCTGTGTAATGTTATCACTTTGCGGACTTCTCTATATGAGGTGATGTGCCCTTTCACTTACTGCATAACACAAACCAAGCATGAATGCATGCACACTTTCCATTTTTTTCTGCTAACAGACACCTTCATTTTCGATAAGTGACAAGCCAGCTACTACCCCAAAACAAACAAATAAATATTTATCTGATAGTCATGTTCATCATAAATATCCATACAGCAAATATTTGTGAAAATCATCTGACTGTCATGAATGCAACGGAACCAAATGATAGAGAGATCTAAAGAGAGCTACATAAGAACAATTCATAGAATGCAGTTTACGACTAACTTACTGTTGTTTGGCCAAATCCTATCGTGTTGCTTGTATTTAGCAATGGTGCACTTGAAAATAAGTTCCCACCAAAGCCAGTAGAAGGCGTACTGAACAAATTGGATTGACCAAAAGCTGGCGTACTCTGACCAAAAGATGATGCAGTTTGTCCAAAGGCCGAGCTCGTCTGTCCAAATGAAGGGGTAGTTGACTGGAATAACGGAGAGGATTGAGTATTACCAAAGCTTAAGCTAGGACCAAATGCTGGAGCAGTAGCCTGAGCTGAAGAGGAGCCAAAAATTGATGTTGATGATCCAAAACCCGAAGCACTAGATGATCCAAAGAGGGAGGGAGATGTATTTGTTCCAAAAGCTGGAGCTGATGGTCCAAATAAGGAAGGAGTAGTCGAGGATGTAGAGCCAAATGGATTAGATGCATTTGAGCTCGCGAAGGGAGAAGAACTAAAAGCCGGAGTAGCTGAGGTTCCAAAACCTGCACTGAATGTGGGTGGTTTGGGTGCAAATGGATTGGAAGTTGTAGTGGATGAAAATGGATTCGAAGATGACTGGCCAAATGGGGAAGTTGATGATGACGCAAAGGCTGAGCTTCCAAAATTGATTCCACTAGTTGACTGACCCACAGAAGCAGGACCTCCTGTAATTGTGAGATTGTTGAGATTACCAATAATATAAAGAGCAACTAGTGTCAAGGTTATAATTCACATTAAAACTTACCTTTATCTCCCAACTGGTAATCCTCCCACCTAAGTTCTTCATGGCTCTTGTCTCTGTAAACTGGCATGGCCGAAATAGACTCCAGTTTCCCAGCAGGCTGGGTACCACTGCCACTGTCTGCTTCAGGTGTTGCCTGATAAGCAGCAACTCGTGTTCCACCCCGTTGACCACCAACAGCAGACTGCGCAAAACCAGGGCTCCCAAAAGTTGCTGCAGAAGTTTGGGCTCCTAAACCATATGAAGAGACCAAGCATCAGAGACAAATAGTATGAAAACATCTTTTGAATTCCAAACCTCTTGATAGAGAAAATACAAGTCATTAATCAAAAAATATACTCCCTCCGTGCCACTTTATGTGATGATGACTTGGCACGGAGTTAAAGAAAAAACGAAAGAATTTCGAAACTTGTGGTTTAAAACAAACCATAGGTATTTCATATTTGGTGCCAACAAATAATCACATTAAGGGTAAAATGGGAAGTTTACAGTTAAACTGTTTCTAAATGTAGAAAGGTATGATTCTCTTTGAAACAAACTAAAAAGGAAAGCATCACATAAATTGGGCAGGATGGAGTTATCAGTCTGTCTTGCATGAGTAAAAGCAGCTTACCAAATGCAGAACTTTGAGCACCAAAAGTTGACGTTGATGTGCCAAATGGGCTACTGCCAAAAGCAGATGTTGATTGGCCAAATGCAGGAGCAGATCCAAAACTAAATGAAGGAGCACTTGGAGCGCCAAAAGCAGGAGTTGTCGTGGCACCAAAGGCAGGAGAACTGGTGGCACCAAAGGCCGGGGTGCTGGTGGCACCAAAGCCCGGGGTGCTAGATCCAAACATAGGAGAATTTGAAGCACTAAATGGGCTGCCTGTATTGCCAAAGGCTGGGTTTGGTGTAGAGCCAAAGGCTGGAGTACTTGATGTACCAAATGCTGGTGCACTCGTGGCACCAAAAGCAGGCGTGCTTGATGAACCAAACGTCGGGGTGCTCGGAGTACCAAATGCAGGTTGACTTGATGCACCAAAAGGTGCAGATGAGCCGAATAGACCACTCCCAAATGCCGGCTGTGATTGTTGAAACGAGCTGCCGAACGGACTTGTTTGGGCACTGCTTGACCCAAAGCCACCAAAAGCTGGCTTCTGCCCGAATACAGATGAACCTTCACAATTAAGACAGTTTCAGAACTGAAGAACAAACAAATACTGTTCAAATCACATTAAGACTATAAGAAACTTCAAAAAAGTAGCACAAGTTACTTCAATAATGTCAGTCACTTCCCATTCTAAGAGGGAAATGCTGGAAAATGCACATTGCAAACAACATACAGGTTAAGCTGCAAAAAAAATATTGGTAAAAGGGGTTTCATTGGCCTCAGACAATTAAAAGAACATGTATTCGCTCTTATACCAGAACAGGAGAGAGAAAAGGCACAGGAAGGCCAAGGAAAAAGATATAATAGATGGAAAGCACTTCCCATCAAAAGAAAAAAAAAATGTCCTTCATTGGCCTCCATAAAAAATTGCATTAGTATTAATAAGTAATAACCTCCCATACAAGAAAAAAAAGAAAATAATTTCAGGCAACAGAAGTATAAGTTCCTCAATTTCAAAATGTTGGAGAAGTAGGATTTCACATTGTATAATCTTTGGATACAAAGTCTTCAAGTGGAGAAGGGTAGAGGTGTCCGCTCACTATTTATCACCTTTTGAAGCTCGAAACAGAATATTTCTGGGTAATCAAAAAAAATCTTCACGTACAAGGTTTAAATAGGAAATACCATTAGTGTGACGTAAGAGAATTGCAACACAAATTCATCTGAGCACACAAATTACACACGAGCTCCATGCAGGCACAGGTAATTGGTGTATAAAATGGAACTGAATCCTATTGGAACATCTATGCCAACACTATGCCAACAAGTAACAAAAATGATAGGCATAGAGTAGACTACTTGTCCAAAAAGAAAAGGGCATGACTAGACAAGAGAAGATCCCTCTAATACATTGTACAAGTAGACTGTTCACTTCAGCAGCCCTGATGTCATTGGAATATGCATAATAAATAATCATTAACTATCAATCTCCCAAGCCACTGAGATCTGAACCCATAATCATGTTACTTATATATGAAATGGGCATTAAGAAATTGGCCTTAGCAGTACTAAAGAATACATTAGAGCATTGATTGCATTCAGGAAAAAGTATGTACAACTGAACTTTGTAAGGAAGCTTGTGGAAACCAATACTCACTCCCAAATGCCGATGAAGAACTGCCAAAAGTAGGACTTGAAGAAGCTCCAAATGCAGGTGTAGTGCTTCCAAATGCAGGTGAGGATGATGCACCAAAGACTGGTGTGGACCCTAGAGGTGAAGAAGATTGGGGAGTTCCGAACACTCCAGTGGAAGTGCTACCAAAAAAGGAACCACCAGATTGCGAACCAAAAGGATTTGTACTACCAAAAGGTTTGGGAGCAAAGGGATTATTACTTGTCTGCCCAAAACCTGATTGTGACCCAAACGGGCTAGTAGATGACTGCCCGAAAGCTGAAAGGAAAAGGAAAAAGTCAGCGCTGAACATCCTAACAGCACGAAATAAGAGAAAAAAGAAGGCTAACAAATGCATCTTAACCGAGAAAATTTCAGAAAATATAATATAAGCCGAAAAGAAATACTAACATTTTCTACGAAATGAAGCAAATAAATGGAAAACAAGAGAGGATGCACGACGGGGAAAAGAGATACTGAAAATAAGAAAGGCAGGTCCTTTTAATCCGTTGTTTCTTATTTAGGAGCATCAGTTTAAAGGAAATATGAAAAGTGAAAATACTAGTCATGACTTGCTTCATTTCAATAGAAATAAGTAAAGAATGGGGGAAAAAGGATGGAAGATGCAGGATCGATTTTCTCGATGATAAAAATGATGCCAAGACAGCCGCAAGTACTTACCATTTGTGGAACCGAACATGGTTTACTTGTCAAATCTTTCACAGTACCTGCTGGAGGTCCAAAGTAAACACACAGATCATTAAAAATTGCTTGTTAGAGTGTCAAAGGATATGTATATAGCAAGTTTTACGAAATTAAAGTCAAGGAGATTGGGATTCCATGCCTCCAAGTGAAAAAATTTCAATACATTAGGTATATAAATAATACTGTGACATGAATAACAACAAGGAAATCATAAGAAGATCCATTATTAAGATAATAAACCAGAAAGCAACATGAATCAATGTAGGAAAGAGGCCTGAATGACAACATTGCAGCTATGCGCAGAAGTACAATACGCTGTGCCTAAATTTCTCCTTATCAACTAAGGCAAAAAAAACGACCTGAATATGTCAAATGATACATACAAGCACCTTTTTGTACGTTATGGTGGATAATATGAGCGGGAGACGAAATAAAAATCGGAATCGTAACAGCAACGGAATCAAAATCGGAACCGTAATAACTAGGGTTATAGCTGTACCTGGGATGTAGAGGAAAGGTGTTGACCGACAGATAGTTTCGCGATTTCGATCTATAAGCAGCAAATTTCAACTGAAAAGGTCGCTCAGAGTCGAACCATTACCCTCGTTGCAACTTCTGTGTGTGTGTGTATTTTGGTGGGCAAAAGTCCTCACACAGGTAAAGAGAGCAACATAGCTTTTTTGAAACGCTGATTATTGACGGTTCGGATGATGGGCTTAGGCCCGCGGCCCCTCTGGCCAAAAAAAATGGTAAAAATTGCTTGGTCGCCCCATTTAATCTATATTATTTTTTTAATTATTTTAATTTGTACCCACTTTTAAATAACTTCAGCCTCTTTCTTTTGCTCCTCCTCCTTGTCCATTTTCTTCTTCTTATTCTTTCTTCTGTTGCTGTTAGTGTTGCTATAAAACTTCAGTTCATGGGATGATTGCCATAAGTATATTTATCAGATTATTTAAAACAAATTATAAATAAATACATAAGGTAGTAAACAATAATTTGTGAATATTTCCACGTAATTATGTTCTTTTCACGTTTATTGTTTCCAAAATTTATGATTTAGATATTGTTGGTAATATGATTATTTTATAGTAGTAATACACTATAAAAGAATAAGGTGATTATTTATCTATGTTAGAAAGCTTTTTAAAAAAAAAATCAGCTTATATAGTGCAGAAGTTTTTACAAATGAACTAAATAACTTCAGCATCTTTTGCTGAAGTTTTTGAAAAAGTTTTATGACAAAACTAATGAATCCAGGACAAAAAAACTTCAGCTATTTTAGTGCTGAAGTTTTACAAATGAACTAAATAACTTCAGCATCTTATCCAGGACAAAAAAACTTCAGCGTATTGCCTTTGCTACTTCAGGCCCGTCTACTAGAATGCTGAAATTTTGCGTGATTGCCTTTGCTACTTCAGTCCCGTATGCTGAAGTTACGCGAAAAAATGGGTACGCTTATAATTTTTTTTGCAAAGCGGGCACAAGTTAAAATGTGACCCAAAAAGCGGGTATAGATGCAAATCCCCCCAAAAATTTAAGGGAGAAATGTAAAAGTAGTCTAGTTTATAACTACTAATTAAAAATTAGCTACCGTTTTAAAATTAATTAAAATGTAGTCACTTTTTTATATGAATTCTAAATAATACGATGGACTTTAAACTTTTACAAGTTAAACTCTAGTATAATATGTTAGAATTCGTATACAAGATGTCTTTAAAATCTGAAGTTTATACGTAAGAGTTTAATAATCCAACATATTATATTGGATTTTTCCGTATTTGTTAAGGGAATTTTTGTCAAGATTTTATCTCCGCATAAAATAATAGTTATTTTTTGTGACTTTACAAACGTTGACTATTTTTCAATTATCAGTCTTAAAACTGCTAGCCCATGCTATTTTCACAAAAAAAGATGTTTTATGCATCTGGTGTCGCCATGAATTTGGAAATTTGAGGAAATTTTCTAAATGATTTTTTCATTTGTTTGATTACATTTTTTTCCTAATATACAGTTCGTATAAATAAATTATTGAAAACTTGATACTCGTAATTATTTCCCTCAACAATTATTTTTAGGTCTTGCTCGTTTCACTTACGGGATCAACATGTAAAGATTGTTTTTAAAATCTTTATTTTTAATGTTTGATATTATTAGTAAAACAAAACATTCGTGTCTTATCCCACATTTTGTTATTAGTAAATATTACTTGAATTGGATCCGAACAAACACCTTGGTTGAAAAAATAGTTTCTCAAATATATTACAACAAATAGTTTTTTACATCTGTCTTATTTCGCTACTTTAACATTAATATTGGTTAATATCTTATCTCAAAATTTGTGTGTATATACTCAGGACTTACGAACTCAAAAGCAGCAATGTTCATAAACTAATTAAGGTGACTGGGTTAGGACGCTAATTAGCTGACGCAATTACCTTTTCAGTTGTTAGTATTTACGGACTTCACGAGTAAAAGAGTCATTGAGTTGTACTACATCTTATATGAAGGTGTCCATTATCTATATATATGTATATCTATCTATATCTATTTATCTATCTGTAACGACCCGACCGGTCGTTTTGAGCTCTAGCGCGTTGTTCAGCAGTTTGATGCCATGAGTAGCTTCACTTCAGGTATTATGACTTGTACGCATGGTCGGAATTGAATTTCGGGAAGTTCGGAGTTGATTTGGAAAGAGAATTCTCATTTCGGAAGCTTTAAGTTCAAAGAATTGACTAAGATTGGATTTTTGAGTAAACGACCTCGGAATTAGGATTCGAAGGTTCCAGCAGGTTCGTATGATGATTTCGGACTTGGGCGTATGTCCGGATCGGGTTTTGGAAGACCCCGGGAACGTTCCGGCACCTATTATGAAAGTTAGCATTTTTGAAAGAATTTTATAAGTTTGGGTTGAAGTGCATTTCAGTGTTATCAATGTCCGTTTGGGTCCGAGTCTGGGAATAGCTCCGTATGGTGATTCTGGTGTTGGGAGCGCGATCGGAAGTGAATTCGGAGGTCCGTGGGTCATTTTGGAGTCATTTGGCTAAAGATAGAAATTTAAAGGTTTTTGGAGTTTGACCGGAAGTGGACTTTTTGATATATGGGTCGGAATTCAATTCTGGAAGTTGGAGTAGTTCCGTGATGTCGAATGTGACTTGTGTGCAAAATTTGAGATCAATCAGACGTGATTTGATAGGTTTCGACATCTAATGTAGAAGTTGAAGTTCTAAAGTTCATTAAGCTTGAATTGGGGTGCGATTTATGATTTCGATGTTGTTTGATGTGATTTAAGGCCTCAAGCAGGTCCGTGTTATGTTATGGGACTGGTTTGTGTGATTGGACGGGGCCCCGGGGGTCTCGGGTGTGTTTCGGGGTGGTTTCGGATCATTTCGGGCTGTTTTGCAATAGCTGATGCTGGTGTCTGGTGTTGTTCTCCGCGTTCGCGAGGATCCTCTCACGTTCGCGAAGAAGGATTTGGCTTCAGGGACTCTGTTCATCGCGTTCGCAAAGAGATCCTCGCGTTAGCGAAGAAGGAAATCTTTGTTGCACAGGTCTGACTTCGGAGGCTCATATCTCGCAATCTATAAGGAATTCGGAGATGATCCAAAAATAAAAGTTGTAGTCCTTTGTGTCTAGTTTTCAGAAAAGTAAACCATTTAGCATTTTAATTTGTGTAAAAAAAAAGTTATGGCTGGTACACTACAGGCTGTCCGGGAAGATGAAGAAGAAATTTGTGTTGCACACGACTGACTTTGGTAGCTTATATCTCACAATCTATAAGGAATTGGGAGATGACCAAAACAAGAAAGTTGTAGATCTTGGTGTCTAGTTTTCAAAACATTAAACCATTTGTCATTTGGAGTTTTGTACAAAAAGTTATGGCCATTATACTAGAGGTTGTCTGAGAAGAGTTTGGAAAATGGTTTTTGGGAATTTTCTTCTTCGCGAACACGTTGGGGGTCTCGCGAACGCGAAGAAGAGTCGTCTGGGCAGTGTATAAGTGTAAAGAAATGGGTTTGGCTTATTTCATCTCATTTCCTCCATGGGAGCCGACCTAGGAGCGATTTTGGATCTCCATTTTGATCATCCATGTCAAGGTAAGTGATTCCCACCTATTGCAAATTAGTTACTTGGATTATATCTAGATTAAAACATGGAAAATCATGTAAATTAGTAGAAATTTTGGGATTTTGAAGAAAACCTAGGAAATTTGTATTATTGGATTTTGACCACGATTTTGGACATGAAATTGAGAGCCAATTATATATTTGAGTTCGTGAGGTTGTGGGTAAACTTTATCTTCGAAAAATATCGGAATTTGGGCACGTGGGCCAGAGGGCATTTTTGTCAACTTTTCGATTGGGGTTAGGGATTGCTATAAATTAGATTATTATGAGTAATTGAGCATGTATTAATGGGTTTACATAATTATTGGCTAGTTTTGGAACATTGTGCATCAATTTGAGTCTTCGGAAGGGCGTGGAATGCCGGTTATGGAACTTCGGAGCAAGGTAAGTCTCATTTCTAACCTTGTAAGAGGGAATTGTCCCCATAGGTGAAATAATTGGTTATGTACTCCTATTTGTGGGGGCTACGTATGCACGAGGTGACGAGAGTCCGTGCGTAGCTATTATTATGTTTAAGTCCGGGTAGTCTAGGACCCAAAAGCATGCTATACCTCAAATATTTGTTATTGACAACTGAAATTGCCTAAATCATATCGAATTGGTAAGAGAATTTCTAAAAAGGGTTAAACCTCATTTTCTTAAATAGTTAAAAGAGAATTGACTTTTCCTTGGATAAATGTTTCTTGATGAATTCTTAATTGATTGTTTGAATGTGTGTATCTATGAGTACATGCGTCGCACGTACGATTCGCGAGCGGGGTAACTCTATTATTTATATTTGACCGCGTCGCATGTATGATTCGCGAGCGGGGTAATAGATGCATCTATGGTTCGTGCCATTCGACCCTCTGGCAGTGCACAATTGAAATATTTGTAGATTGGGTCGTACGACCTCGGCATGATTTGTGCATGCTTGTAATGCTTGCTTGAGATTTACAAATTGATATTGCATCTCTGGTCTGAGATAAATTGATAAATAATAGATTATGAATTTGGAGACTTCTAAATATAAAAAGGAATGTTTACTTGTTTCTTGACTTACTTGAATTTACTGTCGTTTTTAATAAATCCATGATTAATCGCATTATTAATATATTATTATTGGACCACTAGTAAGTGTCGAAGTCGACCTCTCGTCTCTACTTCTTCGAGGTTAGATGAGATACTTACTGGGTACACGTTATTTTTGTACTCATACTACACTTGCTGTGCATTTTTGTTGCACAGGTACATGTATGTCTAGTGGCCTAGTTGGGCGTAACGGCATGGTTGATACGGAGACTTAGGTGAGCTGCACCTCTCGAGACGACCCGCAGCCAGCAGAGTCTCCTTCAGAGTATTGTATTGTATTTTCTTTTCTGTCCAATTTGTATTCCGGACAGTTGTTGTATTACATTACTTCCTAAAAAGTGCTCATGCACTTGTGACACCCGGTTTTGGGATGATTATGGGGTATTTTGTATTAACTTCTAAACATTCTTTTATTTATTTTTTAATGATTATCTTTTACTAGCCAAGTTGAAGGAAAATTATTATTTTCACAATTATTTAAAC